GAGTGCAATAGTTTAGTGCTGTTGCTATTTATAATTTTACAAGCTGGCTAAGTGTACTTGTTGATTTAATTAAAGAATATACGTAACAACTCGTAACCTCTCCTTCTCGTTATTAGAATCGCCTGTTTATTTTTTAAATATACTTGTCGATTCATGAAATGCGCGCGACAGTTTATAAATGTAAATTAAGTTGTATTAAAGTGCACGTCGTTTTATAAACTAACATGTTAACTTACAAATCACCCCCCCCCCAGTGGCACAGCGGAATGTCTGCGGACTTACAACGTTAGAACGCACAGATAGCCCATTGTGTAGCTTTGTGCATAACTTCAAACAAACTTAAGTAGAATTTGTAAATCTACAAGACGATTTTAATAAAACGAAAGGGGACAATAAATAGTCACGTACATAAGTAAGTCAACAAGCATACTTTTCAACCACCTGGTCAAATTATAAATAATAATGGAGCTCATGAACTAATTATCCAACGTATAAATTGTACATACAGTTTAGCTTAAATTAGACTTGAAACTTATACACGGCTAATATTGAAATTAATTGTTTCAAGAAATACGGAATTGTTAAAGTTTGATTCCAATGTTCGTTGAATGCTTGAAGTTTCAACAAACTTCTTCTTTAGTAACATTGTTAACACTTATTATATTTTCTATAAAAATTCTAAAACGTTTAACATATAAATTTCAAACATATTACATTTACAGCTCAATTAATTTCGGGTAAATTAAAAAAGCAGAAAAGCAATTCTCACGACGAATAAATTTCATGTAACCGCCGCGTTACAGAGATCGGAACGCGGAAGTAAAATTAATAAGTAGTTTTAAATTAGCGGTTTCACAGAAATAATTGAAGTTATAGTAATTTGACGTACAAGTTAAATCAAAGTAATCATTCGAAAAGTAAATAGATACCACACAACTACTCAAAACACATGACAAATACCGAGTTAGCACGTGAAACAGGTAGGTGGAATATGTGTTATTGTTATATCGTCTGTAACTCGAACTTCCATTTTGCCGGCCCGGCATGACCAGGTGGTTAGGGCGCTCGACTCGCAATCTGCGGCTCGCGGGTTCGAATTCCCGTCACACCAAACATGCTCGCCCTTTCAGCCGTGGGGGCGTTATAATGTCTCGGTGTATCCCACTATTCGTTGGTAAAAGAGTAGCCCAAGAGTTGGCGGTGGGTGGTGATGACTAGTTGCCTTCCCTCTAGTCTTACACTGCTAAATTAGGGACTGCTAGCGCAGATATCCCTCGTGTAGCTTTGCGCGAAATTCAAAACAAACAAACAAACTTGCATTTAGCGCGATCTTAAGTCAAGAACCCGACGATTGTTTTGTATTGAAGCAGTGGTGTAATGTAACATGAATATTCATGAAGTGAGCCTTATCATTTCTTGTTTTAGTTGACTATTTCAAAAGACGCTACTATTTATAGTACGACATGTTTATTTGAATATTTAGTCCGTTATCATGTTCAATTTTGTCGGTAACGGTCCGTTAGTCCGAAGATTTTTTTAACAGTTAAAATGTTAAATTGTTTGGTCAAATTTGTGAAATTTTATGACAAAAACACCCCCACGATATGACCAAAAAAGTTGCAATTTCTCACGAATGGATGGATAATGTTTATCATCATTTTCCTGGTGTTATATTCTTGTATACGTGTGTAGTGTTAGCTGGAGAACCCTCATATAGTGTTGTGACAATGAATGTTATATTCCCGACTCGTTAAACATGTTCAAAGCTTCCAGTCAGTAAAATTATCTTCACATCGAGCCAATGCTATGAGTTGTACACTACAATGTCGAATCAAATACTTCTGTTATTTGTATTTAAAACGAAAGCAAGCCGTCAGGTCCCCCCGGAACCCCGCCAAGATATACCCTTTAAACTTTTCATTTGAGATTGCTTTCATTTATCATAGTCCTACAAATCTGCTAAATTCATTCAATTTTGACTTATATTGCGAAATCCAAAAATCTGTGGGTATCGGGCCTTTGGACTAACAGAAATTCGGAATACTAAGCGGTGACCTTTTTATCTTATTGTTTCAGGGTAAACATAACATATTTATTTATACATTGAACACCTCGTCATTCATCGTCTTAACCGACTATTTCAAGCGACACGTGACTGTATACAGTGTGACATGTTCATCTATACATTGGACACCTTATATTTCCTTTCAGTGGATTATTTCAAGCGACACATGAGTATTTGTTGTGTCTCGTGTTCATTTATAAATTGGACACCTTATCATTTATCCTTTCGGTGGATTAGTTCAAATGACACCTGCATGCATATACCGAGTCCCTAATTATTTCATGATTGTACATTTGACGTGGGACGCCCATACCTGTTTTCTGCTTTCTCACAAATAATTTAACCGGAATGTCCTCGGACGTCTTTTTCGTGCATTACTCTTCCACTTCAAACTTAAACTAACACTATCTCAAAAGGCTTCTCTATTCCTAAGTTGACCTTGACACTAGCGGTATACCTCTGCAAATTGTAAGTGCAATTTATATATTGCATATTTCGTGGCCATTTCATTTCGTTTAGGCAGAAAATTCGTAAATCGACTTGCCAGTTTATAAATGTCACTATTATTTGTAAGTTGATAAGTTGGCTGAGAAATGTGTATACAAGTAGGTTTATTAAATGTGCATGACAATTTATAACCTCTCATTTTTTAGGTGAAAGTAAGTTTCCCATGGTAGTATGTGTACCAAGTTACATTAAAAATACATGCCACGCCCTAATTATATTCCAAGATTTTCCACGAAAATAACACTTTTAACATTTATATTCCTCGCATTTAAATACTATTTAGATCTATTTAGGGAAACATAAGATCCTCCTAAAAAGACACACTTCTCCATATAGCTTGAACTGGTACTAACTTTAACCATGCTTATGGTTAAAGGGGGCAAAGGGGCAACTGCCCAGGGGCCCGGGCGACTGAAACTTGGTATTGCCGTATAGCCCGCAAAGCATCTTTAGGCTATATCTTGATTTAATGATAAAAACCCATAGTTTTTGGCTTTTCTTTGCATATAAACGCTTGATACATTAAGAACGACTGATATAATAATTTGAGTAATAATTAATATGTATTTGTTACTTTATAGATTTAATAGATATTTGTTGTAACTTTATTAATGTTTTTACGCTTATACTGTGAGGTAAAAACGGCTGCTGCTATGATTTTGTCTGGTGTATGAGCTCGTTGCTGTCCTGATTTGGGATCTTTTTTTAATAAATTCTTGAAAATGTTAAAAAAAGAGAGAGAGAAAGGGGGCCCGGCGAGGATGTTTGCCCCGGGGCCCGTGCTGGCTCTCGACGTTCCTGAATACAACCCAAGTATGAGGATCTAAATTCAACTTCCGAATAAGACAGTCCTTCACCTGTACATCCAGCTATTTGATTAATTTTATAATATAGAAACGTTGTGTGTATGTGGAACAAACAATCCGACAACTTCAGTAGCCAAAAACATGACGTCAGTACTTTATCTGTACCATGAATTAAGTATGCACATTCAAAAGGGAACATCTTTAAAACCAACTACTTCACAAATTAGTTGTATTCTCCCAGACGACTTAAACTAACGTCCAATAATTTTAACATTCATATATTTTACAGTTTTTTACGTGTTCATAATTATCGATTATTTACCTTTTATTTGTGTGCCTTCTATCGTATGCTTTCAAATCAGTACCTGTGAGGAAATCTTCCATCACTGCTAACAGATCAGACGTAGTTAACTATTCTCCATCACTCGCTTCTAGGAAGCTGCAGATCTTAAGGAATGCCCTTCTCTGTTCTTCATTTTCTGGCCGTTCATCTTTTGCGTTCTTGCACTCTGGACGACGCGCATACTATTGGAGAATGTTTATCCCATTCCGAAAGTTAACACTACAAGAGTGGTGATACATGCAATCAGCTTCGTGTAGTTTAGACACGAAGTGCTTTATCCCCCCCCCCCCCCCCCCCCACTCAGAACCAGAAAAGACCAATCATCATACTGGGTTTTGCAACACTCCTTGACCGTTTCTGCAAACACTTCAGTTTTTGCTTTTACGGGTTGCGATTTACGGACGTATCTTGAAGAGAAATCAACATGCCTTCCACAAAAAAAAAATCCATCCATCCGGTTATCAAATGGACAATAAGCTACATGAACACTTATTTTGATGGCAGTTTCTTTGTATGCATTTTTGGATATGGCAATGTCTTTTATATCGATGAACCTTTGACGACAGGATACGTGCACTTTTGCCCTTGGAGACACTACAGTATTACTGCCACACTTTTCACTGGCGAAGGGTGACTACATCTGTCTGGGATTCAAGGGACTCCTTGCAAGTAATGCGAAATTGAACACTCAACCAATGATGTAACATGTTATTCATTCAGCGCCTAAAAACGAAACTAAAAGTATCGATATTAGAGTGGCAAAAATGAGGCCTGACGAAGAAAAATAACTTCAGAAGTTATATAGAAATGTTAAAATAAGAGATACATTTAAAATATGTAAGCTTAATGGGGTAAATTACGAAAAACCTCTTGAACGTGGGTTAAATAGTAACAGAAGCTTGAAACTGTATTGCTCTTGATTGGTACTGACAAGTATTTTCGCTCATGATGACAAGTTAGACTTTCTGAAACCATTAACTGCCTCTTTAAAGATCGAACGTATGCTATTTTAAAAGAAATGCCATTTTTGAATTCACCATAAAAAATGTTTAAGTTTGTGTTAAATTTTCTCAGAGAACGCTTATTTAGCGAAACTGTTGGTTTAAGGCAAACAGACCGTGTCAGCCATATAACTGTTTTCCTAAGTGTTTCGCTGCTCAAATTTTGTCGAATTTTGGATATGTTATTGCAATTCTTTCCCAGTTCAAGAGTTTTTGTATGAGTTGTTTGTAGTTTACTTGGACAATTATACTTGAAACCTATTTTTGTTGTCTTCTAGTTAGTAACAATTCGTAGATGTGGACACTCTGACTGTTTCTTCTTCATGGAAGTTGGCCGCTCAGCAGTAACAGGAGCCGGAGAGTTATGGATGCAAGCAGAAGAAAATCTGATTTCCCAGAACATGCATGAAACAATCCTAAAGTAAGTGGGTCTCTCGCTTTAGCATTTCCTCTCATTCTTCATCTTGTGAGAGACGGTTTTAACTTAAAATGAGGAAGAATAATAATAGCACAACTTTTTTGATCATATAAAAATAAGGTTTACTAATTCAATATTTCTTGGATGTCTTATTTATGTGAAAAAAATTTCAAGTGTGAAGTCTCAAAGAGAAAATGTTGCCAGAGACGTTTATAACATAAAATAAGATTTATTTGATTCACTATTTTCTGTTGTTTTTGTTTATAGGGACGATCTATTTGAATATATTCAGATAATGTGTAGCACCACCTGTTGAGAAAAAAGAACGAATAAGTTTATATATATATATATCACTTTCAGTACTCGGAACAACTGAATAAATATTTTAATTTAACGTAATTGACAGTCCTTAAGAAAAGCATTGTATGAAATTTCTGGAGAAACACTCCTGAACTTTCAGTTTGTTTTTGGATTCTCTGAACTTTTTAGAATGAGACATCTCATTGAAGCTTAAGGTATTATCACAGATAAGTTTACATAAAATACAAGTCTTTAAACAATTTCTTTTTATGTATATTGTTTGTTTGTTTTTTCGTATCATTTGAAACAGTTCCATGAAGTCCTCAAGAAATGTTGAAGACTCTTTGTCAATAAATCGTGTTAGAAGTTCATCTACCTGTGAAAACAGCAAATTTAGCTCATCTTGGAGATCATCTATCAGCTCAGAATGGACCTCCATTGGAACTTCTTTGGCTGATCCCTGTGACCATATTGTACCTCGAACATCAAAACTAAGTGAAAGTTGCAGTGAAGTTGGAAGTATAAGGTGAGTTCTGCTTAATTTATCTAAAACCGTTCATTGTTAACTTTGTTGCTGTTCTTCAGGTTTTTCTTCTGTATTTTTCTTTCTTAAAGTGATTTAGCATTTACTAAATTCGTTACTTGTATTTGAAGATTATCTGTCCTATCTTGAATACATCTTGTTTAATACTTTCAGCCTTGATGAAGCTTGTTCCTTAGACAGTGTAACCAGTAATCTATCCATAGATGCACCTGAAAATCATTATGTCTGCCAGACCTTCAGGTTTGTAACATGCTTAACAAGAAGTAGATCTTGCTTATGAAAGTTTATCAGTTTTTTTTATCAATTCCGAGATACCGGTAATGGTGTGTTTCAGTTATAATTGTAATCAAGGAAATGTAATATCTTTAGAAAATGAAATTCGTTTGAAAAACAACAACTAAATCTTGTACTCTTATTTTAGATGTTCCAGTTTTCCTTCACCCGAGTTTCAGGCTGAAATATGTGAAGACTACTTGCCAATGGACCCACAAACAGGTACACTGTTAACTTGGATTACACAATAATCTGAGAAAAGCCATACCTGTTGAAGTTGCTGTTTTGTAGATTACTGGTGATGTAATTCAGTGTTACATTTGCCTATTTCAAATTAGTTAATTTTCAATTTTGCCTTAAATTATTACTGCTAAGTGTAATTGGATTTAGAGACAGTGATTTCATGCAGATAATTCTTTTTGGGGTGGGGACATAAGCAAACAACAAAGTACTTTTGTTATCAGTGGTGGATTAATCATAATCACGCAAACAATAATAAGTGGAGAGCCTTTTACTTTTCATATTATTAAATTTCTGCTGTTACTTTGATTAACTTATCGGTTTCGAATACAAACAAATAGTTCAAACTTATTTAATCAAATTGTTGCGTATCTGCTTGTTTGTTAATTTCCCGTAGAAATTCTTTCCGAGAAACTTCAGCGATACAAGTCGTTTCTTAAT